GTGGCAAATGGGCCAGGCGGTGAGGTTGAGGAGCAGGCGCAAGAACTGGCAGTGGTGGTGGCAGTGCAGGAGTCCACTACACTTGGATCCAACCATGACCGGGGTAGTATGCCCATCTGGGAGGTGCCTGCAATCCCAGCTGGTGGTGTGGATGGCCAGGTGGGCTCCCTCCCTGCATTGCCTTGGCAAACTTCACCACAGCCCAGGGCTGGACTGCACTGATGAGGCTGGCAGAGGGCTGGCAGCTTGAGCCATGGGAGTGGAGGGGAGGGAGGGAATCTCAAGGTTGGCTGGCTCAGGATCACCCTGGTCCACTTGACCCTGCTCCACTTGACCTGCTCCAGGCTCTCAAGGCTCAACCTGTCAAACCACTCCAGCAGGCCTTCTAAGGTTTGGCTACAGACTGCTGTTCGATACCTCCAGTCCCCAGACGTGTCCAACTCTAGAGGTCCCTTCACCCTCCATTGGTGAATGGTGGTCATTGATTCCCATGTTAAAGTCATAGAGAGGTCTCTCACCAGCCCATAAATCAAGCTCCGGCATCTGAAATCCTCCTCTACCTTGTACAGGTCCCCGGTGGTTGGCCATTCTGTGCTGACCTTCAGCCAAGTTGCCATTTGAAAGGTGTTTTCAGCCACTGCTTCCACCACCCACTGGCTTTCAGTGGGGTCTGCAAGGTGTCCAGGAAGGGCAGCACCAGTGCCTTTGACTTCCTCCCCTTGCTTTTACATCTCTACAATCTACCCTGAGTCTTTGCTGCTCTTTTGATAGATTGGGTGAGCAGCCGTGGTTCAGGATTCCAGAGAGCAGCTCCAATTAGAGCTGAAAGCAGAGTTGGCTTGATATCAGCATTCCAAGTAATGCACCCATAGAAAGCAGAACTCTGAGTCAGGCAAATTCTTCAAAGAACAATTTATTGGATACATCGTATTGGCATAACTGGTGAAAGCTGACTCTGAAAGTTCCTGTGGCTTTCACTTAATTAAAAAATAAACATTTCACCTTTCTCCCAATCATTGGTCATGCTGCCCAATCAAGGTGCTGGCCAGTTGCTTGGTTACTTCACTCCTCCCCGGCCAGCCACCTGTTGGAATGTCCTTGGTTCTCACAAGAAACTTTTCTTGTCTTGGCTACAAATCCCATCTAACTATTTCTCCCTTCCCTGCCCCTTCTGCTTTGCGGCAACCCTGAAACCTCCAAGACAGCCTCAGCCAGGCTCACTTCAGGGTTGACACCTAGTTTTTGTCTTTGTTTTGCGTAGTTCAATTTTTATTTCTAGTACCATAAAAATAGACAGTTATTGCTGTAACAGCTTAATTTGATGTAAAGTTTTAAGATTCATATGTGTCTTTTGCAATTCAATTTCTTTCTGTCTGAAATTATCCAGTATCCTTTGTGTCCTTTCCTGGGATTTTTTTTCTTCTCTAAATGCTTGTACTGTATAAAATAGCCCCTCATGGCCACTTTTCTAATATCCCATACAGTCATTAAACTTGTCCCTTTACCTAGATTATTATCAAAGTATTCACATAGTTTCTTTTTACAGTCTCTTACAATCCTTTCCTTTTGCAAAATAGATTCATTTAGTTTCCATCTAAAGCTCATCTTAAAACCTCTTAAAACCAAAAGCACAGGATTATGATCAGAAAAAGATTTGGCTAAAATATCCATTTTTGAAATTTTATTTGCAAGATTTTTAGATGTCCATATCATGTCAATCCTTGAAAAAGATTTATGTCTTTCTGAGAAAAAGGTATATTCTCTGGCATCACCATTTTTATATCTCCATGAATCTAATAATACTAGATTATTCATCATCTCGGAAAAAAAAAATGGTAATTGTGAGGGTTTAATCCCCTTAGTGAATGTTCTATCCAGCTCTGGTGTTGTCATTCCATTTCAATCCCCAAACATAAGCCAGTTTTCATACAAAAAGTACTGATCCACTAAATTCAAAAAATTGCTTTTATCATCATTTGGCCTGTACATGCCAACTACTATTGATTTTATTCTATTAAGTTCAGCTTTCACTACTACAAAGCTACCATATTCATCTGCTATAAGTAGCTTAGATTTAAATTGAGGTTTTATATATAGGATAACTCCATTAATCTTTTTTACACCCGCAGATATAAATTCCTTCCCTAGTCGTTAATTTATCAAATATTTCTTATCTTGTTCCTTTATGTGTGTTACTTGAAAACAAGCTATGTCAACATTAATTTTCCTCAGGTATTGAAATATTTTTTACTCTTAGATGGGGCATTTGCCCCATTAATATTCCATGAAATGGACTAATCTCTATCTTGACAAAGTAATAGGTACTTTTAGGTACTACAGCGATCCCCCACTAGCTTCTTTTCTATATCTATTTCTTCAACTGGCTCTATAATTAATTTGTGTCTAATCAAAAAATCCTTGGCTTTTTTTTATAGAGTTCAGTCTAAATCTTTGCTCTTGGTAAATAATACTCCTTTCAGTTTGTCCCAATGGAATAAAATTTTTCTCTGCTTCAAAATGTCAGTAAGGAAAGCATAAGAATGAGTTTCCCTTTTTCTCAAAATTCTAACCAGAATTTCCTTCAAAACTATTATATCCATATTCTCCATTGTCAGTTTATGTTTAAAATGGCAATCCAAAACATGATCTCTTGTTATTCTTCTTGAAAAATGGACTATCACATCCTTGGTAACTTTCTTTTGGCGGCAAACCTGGAGTTTACTCTATAAGTCTTATATAAATCTATATCAATATTTCTTCCTCTTTCTTAGTTAGCTGAGCCAAAGTCTTCACCATCCTTAGTGTAATACCTTCTGATTGTTCAGGAATTCCTCAAAATCTTAATTGGAATTCTTTAATCTGAGCTTCCAAACTTGTTATCCCATCCAGTTCAGCTTCACATAAAGAACTTGTCTTTTCCAATTTGTGTTCCATAATATCCACTCTACCTTTCACCTATTTCATATCTCCCTTTATACATTGGATTTCCTCCTGGAGTTCCCTTGCTAAAGCATTGAACTTTGATTCAAGCTTTGTTCCAATGGATTGGATCAACTCATGTGTCTTAGTTATATATTCATCAATAAAAGGCCTTAGGAGTTCTATATCTCTGGATAATCTTTCAAGTCGCTCTGTCTTCTTATGGGTGGCCATGGATAGAGCACTACTGAAATTTTTAGATTTAAAGTTTTGAAATTTAAATTTTAAAATTAAAAGTTTTAGAGTTATAGGTTTGTAGCATAGACTCCACTGGGTTTAATAATACTAGTGAAATGTTAGAAGGAATTAGAAGTAGTATAGTCTTTTAGCTTCCTCTTTTGGTTAAAGAAAAAAAAAGCCAAAAAACTTAAGTTCAGCCTTTTATTTGAACCCCACACCAATCATCCAATCAAAAGCAGTTAAAATAGAAACTGTTTAACCCCCTCCTCATAGCAAGCATTAATCTCCATTCAGACCAGTCTTATTTTAAACTCAAGAATAAAGTTCTGTACTGTAGAGTTGTCTAATAGTATAAAATCCTCTGGAAAATTTAAGTCAAAAATTTCAAAAATAGTTTTAGAAATAGTTTCCACAATACTTTAGGTTCTAGTGGTTTCCATCTTCTTTATATTGGCTTAGATAGTCCAGCTCCTCCCTCCTCTCCATCTTAAAGTCACAAAGCCTCAACAATGACGATAGTTCCACAAAATAGGAAATGGCAAGCTGCAACTAGAGAAAGACTGTTTCAGTATGAAAGGTAAATATGCAGAAAAAACTAATGCCTAAGAAGCAGTGGCACCCTTTATTGTCCATTGAAAGTGGTGATTCTTCCACAGTGAACTTGCTTGGTTGACCCTGGCTGCGGTGGTCCTAAGGTAAGCGGGTAAGACATCCCCCCCCAAAAAGAAAATAAGACTGCTCTTATTTTGGGGAAACATGGTATATAGAGCAGAGTTATCAATCACCTGAAATTGAGGCTAGTTTAGCAAATCATTTATGGGTAATGGACCTCTTTACATGAAGTTCAACAGAACATTTGATTTAAACATTGAGGTTGTTATGTCTAGGCATGATTTCTGCTGTCTGCTGTAAAGCAACTTTGTTGTCAAGTCTTCCAAACATCAGTTCTTAAGCACAGTAAGTTTGGTTTCTGGAACATAGAGATATTTCACTATCCTTGTATGAAGTCTGACACTCTCAAACTGCCAGATTAAACAGATTTCAAGAGACAAGAATTGGGTATGTCTGGTGAAAAGAAGGACTAGGGGTGACATGATAGCAGCATTCCAATATTTAAGGGGCTGTCACAAAAAAGAGGGGGTCAGTCTATTCTCCAAAGCACCTAAAGGCAGGACATGAAGCAATGAATGGAAACTAATCAAGGAGAGAACCAACATAGAATTAAGGAGAAATTTCCTAAGGGTGAGAACAATTAATCACTGGAATAGCTTGCTTTCAGAAGTTGGAAATTTTAAAGAGATTTGACAGTCCGACATATGAAATGATTATAGGGTCTACTGTTTGAGCAAGGAGTTGGACTAGAAAACCTCCAAGGCAACTTCCAACTCAGTTATTCTCTTATTTTGGTCTCAATATGCCACCAATACTGGTACTTCTAATAAAGGCCTCTGAGATGCAAGAAAATGCCCAGGATAATGATACCGGGATGTTGGTGGATTTTGACATTTTTTAGAGGGACACAGACTTCATTTATCATGTAATTTTGATTGATTTGGTTCTTGTGAACATGAAGAAGATATGTGATACCAAATAAAGATGTTTAATAAGTTGCTGACAAATTCTATATTTGCATCCTGACATATTCCAAAAGTGAAGCATTTTTGAAATAAAATCTGAGAGGTCAAATGATGATGGTGACGATGAAGATGACATTGGGGATCAGAAGAATGGGTCCTTCAATTACATGTCTTTGACACAGCCATTTGGTACCATTGTGATTTAACAACAATGAAGCTATATTGCAGCCATTCTTTAAACTCCATGTTTGTCTCTCTCTGCAGAAATAAAGATTGTCTCAGAGTATGGAAACTATTTGAACAGGCTTTTCTCTACAAGGACCCATGCAGCATGACCAAAGAAGATTACCAGCCTCTAATGGACCTGGCAAGATATTCCATACCATGCAACAAGGTGTGTTGTGCCAGTAGATTTCCAGAAAAAGGATTATATCTGGGGTTCCCAGTTTGCTATGGCTTCAAAAAAATACATTAAATTGTTTTGTTTTTCAAGGACTAATTAAAAGAAGAAACTGTCCATTATTCACAAGTGTCTGATAAATGTGAAAGTACTTTATCAGAGTGATTGTGATGTGCAGTTAAAGTTCAACTGGTTTTTATATCCATATGAAACTTTGATCTTCCCATTGCAGTCATCATCTTGCCCATATCCCATGGACTCCTCTGTAAGTGATTGAAATATATGTCCTAGCATTAGATCATCAGCTTCTATAGAAGACCAGTGATTTTCAACTCAGGCAGCAAAATATCCTGAATGTACTCCTAAGAAGTATTTACAGGAATATTTGCAATCTCTGGCAAAATGCAGTATATGTGCAATTGTTAGGAAAATGTCAAGGTTCTGACTGACAAACCCAACCAAGTCAGCACTCCGAGACAATCAGACTTCTCAAAGAACTGTTTTATTGAGTACATCATTTTGGCACGCATGAAAGCAAAACCAACTCTAACTATTTCCCGTGATTTTTGTATAACTAAGAAATAGATATCTCCCTCCCTCCTTGTCACAGGTCACATTGTCCAAGCATCTCCTTCTAGTCTTTGGCCAGCACCTGTTGAGATGGTTCCCATAGGATGATGAGATGTTATTGTCTGGTCTGACATTCCAAACCTCTCCCTCTCCCCATACTGTGTGGCAAGCTGAGAAACAAAAAGATGGCTGTGGCAGCATGAATCCATTTTGAAATTGATAGTTGGACCCACCTAGAAAGTGAGAAGCACCTGGAAAACATTAAGCACACATACATTAATGGAGTTCAGGGATTCCTAAGTCCCTAGGGAGGGTCTTTGGATTTCTGAATGTATTTCTTGTGAAACTTCTTTGTTAATCTGTCTGCCTTCATATTCTGTGCTTTTATCTGTCTAGCTTCTGACATTGGGTATCCCTTGCAATGGACTAAGTACTGAGGTTTTCCTTGTACAACCTAGAATCCAGGACCCTTTTAGTGTTTCTCCCCTTCTACTACCATTGGACCTGGAGCTATTGTTGCTACTAGCTTTAGATCTGAACCTACCACTGGCTAAAGTAGACTGCAGTGGAACATCGGATGCACTTTTCCCAGTAGGGTGGCAACTTTAACTCTACTTTAACTGGGTTTATGATTTTCACTATGGGGAAAGGTTCTATAAACTTTGGACCCAGCTTTTGGCAGGGCAATTTCAGTTTCAGATACTTGGTGGATAAATACACTTTCTCTCCTATGTGAAATGGTTTCTGGGGTGACCATCTCTTATCTACCATGTTTCCCTGAATATACGACATGTCCTGAAAATAAGGCCAAGCCTGATTTTTGGGGTGGGCGTAAATATACTCTCTCCCCTGAAAATAAGCCCTAGTGAAGGGATGGGTGTGGCCAGCATAGGAGATAGCCCTTCCCTTCTCCCATCATCTCAGGGCTTCTCGGCCCCTTAATGGGATCAGCTGAGGCGATCTGGCTGCCATTCAAGAAACAGCTGATTCACGGGTGCTGCTCAGGCCCCCGCCTCCAGCAAGAACAGCCGCTTTTACTGGCAATTGTGGTTGCAAAAGAAGCGGAGGCCAAGCGACCCACCCCACATGCCTCGTGTTCTCCTTAACTAATGGTGACAATCACAGGAGGTAATTCCGTCCACAGAACAGGAAAGGAAGGCATGGAAATCCATACACCTGGGATATTGGAAGAAGCCCTGTGAGGAGACACCACTGCTGATGTGCAGGAAATCTGCACATTTCCTGCATATTGGCAGCACACTCCCTTTTTAATATTGGACTTTGTTTTACTTTAGCTTTTAATTGATCAAATCTGGGGGACTTTTTTAGAAGTCTTTGTGCAGGAGGGAAAGGAAAAGGAACTTCCCTTTTTAGAAAATCCAGACTACGTGGCAGGATGGCTTCAAAGAAGCAGGAAGGGAAGGCAGCAGGGGGGGGATCCCCCACACATAAACAAGAAACGCAGCTTCCCTCTGCACAGCAGTTACAGACCCAGAAAAAAGAATTTGATGTGGGAGATTTAAAACAATTTATTTCTAAAACTTTGGATGATAAATTTCTAAAATCTCAACAGGAGATAGATGATAAACTTCAAAAATCACATCAGGAATTTATGCAGGAAATTAATGAAGTTAAAGATATGGTGAAACAGAATCAAAATAAGGTGACCAAAAAAATATCAGAAGTGGCGTCTGGCCTGGCAGAATTTATTGGGAAAGTTGATTTTAAAGTTGAAGAATTTAAATCAGAAGTGAATGTCAAGATGAAAGACAATGATTATAAAATTGATGAAGTTGACAATAAAATGCAGAGAATTGAAGATGAGATTGTTATGATACAATTCCGGGCGATGGAATTCGCCATACGGCTTCGGGGAATTCGAGAGGGGGAGAGACAGGATTTGAGACAAGTTTGTTCTGAAGCCTTGGCCAAGATTCTACAAGTTAATCCTGATGTGGTATTTCACAAAATAGATAAAATCTACAGAGTGAACTTTTGGGTGGCCAGACAAAGACAACTGCCTAGAGATGTGGTCATATACTTTACAGATAGAGGAATTAGAAATGATATCCTGCAAAAATCTTTTCATACTTCTGTACAAGTGGGGGGTTCACGACTTGAAATCTTTAAAGAATTACCTCCTAAAATGCTGAAAGCCAGAAAAGAATTTGGTTTTCTTGTTAAGGAACTGAGAAATTTACAGATACCCTTCCGGTGGGACGCACCAGCTGGGATAATTTTTAGATATAAGGGAGAAGGATATCGGTTGAATACCGTGGAGAAGGCACAACACTTTTACACTACTATTCTTAAGGAAAGAACACCATCTCCACGTACATCCACAGTTTTGGAGATTAAAGAGAGTGAAGAGAGGCAATTGCAAGAACAGTCCAAGCAGGAATTAGAAGTAGTGCAAGGTGCAGAAGGAGGTTTTCTGAGTGAGCCCTTGTTTGATTCTTCTCCAATTTTGGACTTGATTCAGTTGACTGAAGTTAAAGATCAACGTATAACTAGAGCTCAATCTAAGCTACTTAAACAAAAGCAACAACAACAACAGGAAAGACAAGACAAGAAGGCAGTTAAGAGTACTGTACAAGAGAGTGGAGCTATGGGAGGAGCGAGATCGAAGCTTTCGGATGATCTTCAAGCATTTTGCTCTGTGCTCCAGAAAGAGGCTGATGACCTTTAAGTGTTTATCTTGGAATGTCAATGGGTTGAACTCAGCACAGAAAAGGAAGAAACTATTTACATATTTGAAACAATTTAATAATGATATAATATGTTTACAAGAAACGCATATTACAACTCAAGATCAAAAATATTTGATAAACTCAAAACTAGGAGCACATTTTATATCTTCAACTTCGCAGAAAAAGAATGGTGTGGTTATTTATGTAAATAAAAAGTTAACAGCTAAAGTTATAGAAGCAGATCAAGATGGTAGGTTTGTAGCAATTGAATTGTTTACAGCAAATGGCCAAATTCTTTTGATTGGAATTTATGCTCCCAATCAACAACAGGACTATTTTTATAAGATGTTACATACTAAAATATTGCAATGGGACTATAGATCTATTTTAATTATGGGAGACTGGAACGGAGTAATTGATTCTAAACTAGATAAAAAGAGTTTGGCAAAGTCTAGAATTAGACTACCACAGACTTTTTTTGATATGAAAGAAGATATGGAACTAAAAGATGTTTGGAGAATACATAACCCAAAAGAATTGGATTACACTTTCTTTTCCGATAGACATAGATCCTTTTCTAGGATTGATTTTATCCTGTTGTCAAATGATCTACTTGTTAAGACAAAAAGAACAAAGATTTTTCCAAGAACTTTGACTGACCATAGCCCTGTATGGATAGAAATTGAGATGGATAAGGTTGAGAGACGTTCTTGGAGATTAAATGAGAACTTGTTTAGATATGAAAAAAATACAATAGAACTTAAAAAGCATTTGAAAGAATTTTTTGAAACAAATTTGAATAAAGGTACCCCAATTGAAATTGTTTGGGACGCAAGTAAAGCTTATATGAGAGGGGTACTTATCTACATGAACTCTAAACATAGACTGTTCCGACAAAAGAAAAGATCTGAATTGGAAACGGAAATAAAGAACAAAGAACAGTTACTTATTAAAAACCCAACAGATGAAAGAATACGAAGTGCTATAAAACTTTTGAAAGACCAATTTCAAATGCTTATGGCGGAACAAGTTGCAACAAACTTACAATATGCGAAGCATAATACATTTTGCAACGCTAACAAACCGGGCAGATGGTTGGCTTACACATTGAGGAAAAAACAAAGTATACGGACTATTGATAGTATTGATATTGGAGGGAAAGAAATTTTTCAACAAAAATTAATTAAAGAAGCTTTGTGGACTATTATACCAAACTATATGCCAAAGAGGAGGTGCAGAATGGACTTATAGAAAAATATTTAAATGACAAGAGAGTTACAAAAATTACTGATCAACAAAAGAAAAGAATGAATTACCCTATAACAGAGGAGGAGATAATAGCAGCAATTAAACAGTTAAAAACAGCTAAAGCTCCTGGTACAGATGGTTTGACCGCAGTGTATTACAAAACTTTACAAGCTGAAATGGTGGGACAACTTAGAGATTTATTTTGCAATATTCAACAAGGGGGTAAAATACCCCCATCATGGACAACAGCTTATATATCTTTGATACCAAAAGAACAAGTTGGTCCTAAAAAACCAGAGAATTATAGACCAATATCTCTTTTGAATACAGACTATAAAATCTATGCGAAAGTATTAGCCAACAGGTTGATGCCAGTAATCCAAAAGGTGATTCATGAGGATCAAGCGGGATTTATTGAGGGCAGATATATGAAGGATAATGTAAGGCAAGTAATAGATTTATTGGAATATCTTGATAAGAATAAACAGATTCCTGCAGTGCTGGTTTTTTTGGATGCAGAGAAGGCCTTTGATAGAGTGGATTGGAATTTTCTACTAAAGACTTTAAAAAAGATGGACTTTGGGGACCAATTTATACAGGCGATTTCAGCAATTTATCAAGAGCAAAAGGCACAGATTATTATTAATGGAAGTCTGACGACAGTGTTTAAAATTGAAAAAGGAACAAGACAGGGATGTCCGTTGTCCCCACTTTTATTTATTTTAACATTGGAAGTCTTGCTAAATACAATACGGGACTCTAAAATTTTGAAAGGCATAATGATAAGGCAAGAGGATTATAGAATAAAGGCATTTGCAGATGATCTGGTTGTTACCCTATCACAACCAATGGAATCAACAATCCTGATGAAGGACATTATACAAGACTATGGTAGAGTTTCAGGTTTTAGACTGAATTCAAAAAAGACTAAAATGATAGTTAAAAATATGACACAAGATCGTAAACATGAGCTTGAAAGGAGGGCAGGTTTTGAAATTGTACCTAAGGTAAAATATCTTGGAGTTCAGGTTGCAGAATCAAACATGAAATTGTTTCAAAATAATTATGAGGTGTTGTGGCGAGAGGTTCAGAAAGACATGGAGACTTGGAAAAAGCTGCAACTGTCTTTACTTGGAAGAATAGCAGCAGTTAAGATGAACATTTTGCCAAGATTTCTGTTTTTGTTTCAAATGATTCCGGTGCTTAAAAGTGATAAACAACTGAAAGTTTGGCAGTCTGGTGTGAATAAGTTTGTCTGGAACGAGAAGAAGCCGAGAGTGAAATTGAAAATTATGCAAGATGTTCCAGAAAGAGGAGGCCTTAAACTCCCAAACCTACAGTTATATTATGATGCAGCAGCTTTAACTTTAACAAGTGATTGGTTTGGAAGTAAAAAGACTGGAATATTGAATGCAGAAAGTTTTGATCTTGAATTTGGATGGCATGCTTATTTATTTTACGACGATAAAGTAGATAAAGTATTTAAAAGTCATATACTTAGAGACTCTTTGATGAGAGTTTGGAAGAAGCACCGACTCAAATGGGATTACAAAATACCGCTATGGCTGGATCTTGGTCATACTTTGTGGAATACAAATATAATGTCACTCGGGGGGTTTTTATATAAAGAGGTTCTTTTCACAGATGCGGGCAGATGGCAGCTGAAGACATTACAGACACTGTTGGATGAAGGGTTTAATTTAACTTGGTTACAATATAATCAACTACAACTGAGATGGAAAGAGGACCAAAAAACTGGTATTATGTTGCATGAGGAAGAATTGGTTAGACATATAAGAGAGAAAGGTCCAATGCATATTAAAAGGCTTTATAATGTTTTGTTAGAAAGAGATTCAGAAACGGAATTAGTTAAAGATTGTATGATTAAGTGGGCACAGAATTTTGAAGAACCAGTGATGCTGGAAACTTGGGAAAAAATTTGGGTTCAGAATGTTAAATTTACACAGTCGCAAAACCTGAGAGAAAATTTTTATAAAATGTTTTATAGATGGCATTTAGATCCTAAAAAGTTGTCATGTATGTACCCTAATGTTCAGCCAAAATGTTGGAGATGCGAATGTTTGGATGCTACGTATTATCATGTTTGGTGGACCTGTAGGAAAGTTAAGGCTTTTTGGATAAAAATTTGGTGGGTCATGCAGAATGTTTTGAGGAAAAAAATTCAATTTTCTCCACAGTTGTTTTTATTGGGTATAGTTAAGGGTTTTACACGGGGTGAAACAAAACTGATATTGTATATGATAACAGCAGCAAGATTGTTGATAGGTAAATACTGGAAGAATGAAGCTTTGCCCACTATCGAGGAATGGACTTTGAAGATGGCTAGTTTTGCAGAGATGGCGAAGATTTCAGCATATTTAAAAGACTGTTCACAAGAGACTTATGAATGGGAATGGAAAAGGTGGATAGAATATGTTCAGAACAAATACCAAACTAGAAAGTATCAAATAGCTTTTATTTGAAAATAATGTATTAGAAATATTTTAATGTAAAGAGACAAAGAGGAAAAATTATACAGGGGGAGGGATGGGTTCAAGCTTATATATCAGTGTCATTAGTTATGAGTACATAATAGGGAAGTCTGGGGGGGAGGGTTAGGGAGGGTTAGGGAGGATGGGAAGTTTGGGGAGGGGGGGTGAAAAAAGGGGTGAAAATGTAATTGTAAAACTTTTGCAATAAAAAAATAATAATAATAATAACACCTGCCCAAAAATAAGGCCAAGGCCTTATTTCGGGGGGGGGGTATCAAAAGAAAATAAGACCCTGTCTTATTTTTGGGGAAACATGGTACTTGCACTTTCTGAGTCTCCGTTGACTTAACCAGTGCTTGTTTCACATTCCCCCAAGTATTTTGTGAAGAACCCACCCACTCATGAGTCCATTTTGAAGTTGACAGAAGAAATGTATAGGGCAGGAGTCTGCAGTCTTAAACAGTCAAAAAGCCATTTGGACCCATTTCCCACAGAAAAGAAAACATCGGGAGCCACAAAACCCTTCCGTGCCTGACTATTTCTTGAGCAGCCACAAAACTAGCATATGTAGTTGAATTAAACATTCTGTTTTCTTCTGAAACTTTTCTTTTCTTGGATTTATCCATGGTTGGCCTACCGGGGGTTGAAAAGCTCAGTAAATCGCATGCCAGCAGGTGTCTCACATTGGTGGTTGTGATGCATATTTTGAGTGATAGGGAGCCACAGCAGAGGGGTGAGAGAGCCACATGCGGCTCCAGAGCCACGGGTTGCTGACCCCTGGTATAGGGGAAAATGCCAATAGCTATGGATCCAGTATATTTATTGATACATCTATTTATTTATCTTTGAAATGGACATGCTACTCTTTAAAGAACATTTTTCCCATGACAATTTTGGAAGAAAAATTCTAATTTTTTTCAAGATGAAAAGTAAACAGCAGAAACAAATTTTGGAAAAGCTCAATCAATACAAAACATTTTTTAAAAAGAAGTGTGAGCATACTGTATAAAAACATTTGGTTAATGCTGAAAAATGACAAATGTTTGTTCCTCTTATTTGCAGTCCTTATTTTGGAGCAAAACATATGACCTGGCACATCATTACACGAAAACAAATCATGATTTCCTCACCTTAGAAGATACTTTGCTAGGCTACATAGCAGATGGGATTACCTGGTGTGGAAATCCCTCTGATTCAGGTAGAAAAAGCAGAATTCTTACCTCAATACATGGTTGGAGGGATGGTGGGAGGAAGAAATTGTACAGCATTTGGCTCTTAAAAAATGACTGGAAAGAGAATTAACCCCATGAAACTAAGAGGATTATTTCACTGAAAATGTCAATGAAAATACAGCTTTTATTTAGTCTATAAATGCCTTTTAAACAAAGCATTTGTTCCAATTTAAGGATAAAAGAGAACTGTGGTGGATCCCATGGGACATTTATAAAAGGAGGTAACATTAAATGTTAATATATCTCATCCTTTCTACATTATATTTATGTCCAAACATCTTTCTTTTAGGAGTCAATTATGAATCTTGTCCAAAGTGGACTGAGTGTGAAAATAATCCCAGTTCAGTTTATTGGAAATTGGCCTCTAAAATGGTATGTTTTACTTATCTCTTTTCAGCCCCGATGCTAAGTGTGCATAATGTATCAGTGTTATATACTTTAATGCAATGAACCCAAATCACCAATCTAGAAAATAACTCCTATTGATCATTAAATATGGGTAGTTTCATTTTCTCATTGGGAGAAATAGATTTTTTTTAGTGGACTCAAGGTGCTGATACTGAAAGCTGTGCTGAACAGGCTTGTGTTCTGCAGGGTCTCCATCTAGATCTGCTTGGGGGCTAATTAATGATTCTGCATTAAGAAATAGGGTCTGGTATGCTTGCACCCCAACAGCAGCAATTCTATTTTCCACCAGTTCAGTTTTTAAGTTTTCTTCAGCACTCAATAGCTGCAAACTAGCTAATTAGTGTACAGTTAGTCCTCAATTTACAACCATTCAGTTAGCAACAGTTACAACAACACCAACAAAATTAAGGTACCATCTCATACTTTCAACCATTGAAAGTATGAGGTGGTAGCACCCCTGCAGTCACAAAATTCAGGTGCTTGGCAACTGGCATGTACGGTATTTACAATAGTTGCAATATTCCAGGATCATGTCGTTACAATTTAGACCTTTTCAGCCAGCCACTGTGAAGCAAAATCAGTGGGGTGAGCTGGATTCGTTTAAAGGCTTTATTTAACAACAGTGATTCACATAACCATGGCAAAAAAAAGTTGTAAAATATGGTGCAACTCATGTTGCTTAGTGACTCCCTTGGTTTAGTAACAGAAATTCTGGCCCCAATTGTGATTGCAAGTCAAAGACTACCTGTATTGATGCGATGATCTGTATCCACCGGAGGGTAAAAAGTGTCAGGATAAGCAGCCACAACTATGCAATTGAAGTTCTGCTCCTCTTTATCATGCATCAAGTTATGTAAAAAGAGGCAGAGCTTCAACTGTGTAGAGCTTCAATCAAGCCTTGATATTTTCAATCATTTTGGTATCATTCTGATATTTTCAAACATATTGGTATTTTTTACTCTTCCCTGGATGCTGCTGCCTGCTGACATTGTGACAAAGCTGTTGAAGTTGAGTTACAATCAGAGCCAATAGGCATGGGTGGTATAAAAATATTAGTGATAAATAAATATATAAAGCACAGAACTAAAATGGAACCCAGCAATCATGCAGAGGGAGAAGTATTATTTTTGCATCCACAAAAACAATAAATGGGGCAGGTTTGCAAAAACAAAAACCCACTCTACTGAATTGTCCTCTCTCTTCCCCCATTTTGACATTCTAACTCTTCATTATGTAAACATTATCCTCAATTTACACCCATAAGTGAGCCCACAATTTCTGTCATAAGTCATGACAGTTGTAAAACAGGTCACCATGTGACCAGACCTGATTTTACAACTAGATTAGATTAGATTAGATTAGATTAAACAGAGTTGGAAGGGACCTTGTAGGTCATCTAGTTAGCAAATGCCATGGCCATTGTTTGCTATGAGGTGGTTTTTGCCAGAAATCAGAACTATATGAATGCAGCCAATTGCCAAGTGCCATAATGTGACTGTGTGGGGTAGGGGAGGGCAGACATGAGAACTTCAAATTGGTTGTAAGTACCATGTTTTCCTGAAAACAAGATCCGGTCTTATTTTCTTTTTGGCCCCAAAATAAGCACCAAGTCTTATTTTGGGGGGATATCTTACCCACTTACGTTAGGATCACTGCAGCCATGCCTTCGATGCCCCAACATGTATGTGCCGCTGCCCGACTTCTGCAGCCACTCGCGGCCAGATGCCATGTGGCTCATTGCACCACTGCTACCACTTGCAGCAGGATGCCGCGAGGTTCATTGTGCCACTGTCGCTGCTTGCGGCAGGAAGCTATGTGGTGTGTTGTGCTGTCGCGTTTGTGAGCAGCAGCACTGGCATGATGAGCCTTGCAGCATTCTGCTGCAAGCAGGGGCACCAGTGAGATGAACCTCATGGCATTCTGCTGTGAGCGACTGCACCAGCGCAATGCACCAGGTGGCATCTGGCTGTGAGCAGTGGCACTTGCACAATGCCGTGATGCAGCATCCAACTGCAAATGGCCACAAGCGGCTGCAGTAGAAGTCGGGCAGTGGTGCGACAGGTGTCAGGACATGGAAGGCCTAGCTGTGGTGGTCCTAAGGTAAGCGGGTATGGTGTGTGGGGGGCAGCTCCAACCCACACCCCTGCCCTAGCTTGATTTTTACGCATGCGCCTCACCCCACCTCCAACAACCAGATCCTGGTCGGGGCTTAACTAGGGCTTTTTTTGGGGGGCAAGGCTTATATTAGGGGCAGGTGTGAAAATCAGGTTAGGGCTTGTTTTTGGGATAGGTTGTATTTTGAGGGAAACACAGTAGATTTTAGGGATCCATTGTAACTTTGAACAATTGTTAAGCAACCAATCATAAGTTGAGGACTATCTGTATTTGTTGGATTTATTATTACAATTACCATTAAAGTTTTTCCTCTTCCATGAATTTTGTGAAAAACTGAAACCATTTTCAGACAGCTTTGATCTAGGTGGGCATGTCTTTTTATGAGTACATATTTTTGAAATTGTGGCAGGGAAATTAATCCTGTAGAAATAAGGGGTTCAAACATCTATTGTATTTTTGGAAACACAAAATAGTAACCAAATATAAAATAGATGGTAGTAAGAAATTATGTTCCTCCTTGTTTTAGTTTGCAGAAACATCCTGTGGAACAGTCCAAGTGATGCTCAATGGGTCAACAGCGACTGGAGCATTTAGAAAAAGCAGGTATTCTCTTTCCTTTCATGTGCTTAAAATGTTCCTAAAATAAACAAAGAAAGTTCTTCACTATTTATTTGTGGATATTTCTGACCAAGCATCTATATGTTAGCCATTGGTATCTGCAAGATATGGAATAAAGATGGCAGCCACAATGATATGATTGAAGTATTACTGTAGGAGATGACCAGGCTGAGCCCGAGGAGGGGTCAAATGCATCAGGAATCCCTTCATGCCCATAAGAGGTCTACTGTAAGTCCTATCTTGAATTCCTTATCTACCACCAAATTGCTTTGACTGTTAGTAGTTCAGACTCTTGAAGAGAGTTTAAGATTGCAATAAATCATTGTATCCATTTGAACTGCCTGGATCTCCTGATATCTCTGGTGCTTGACAACTATCAATTTTAATCTGCATCTCACACATGACACACATTAAAGAGGGTGGAGCTTTAATTGCACCATTGTGCTACCATCTTGATTTTTTCAACTGTACCCTTGCAGATACCCCAAGGGCCAGTATGGCTTTTCTAGCACTGGACTAGCAAGTGGGCTGTGGCTTCCAGTTCTCAGCCTGGTTGATGATAAATGATAAGTTCTGATGCATTTCAAAAATGATTTGCCTTTTCCCTTGGAAGGAAAAGAAAAAAGAAAGAAGTGAAAGAATGAAGAAACCAAAAAAGTAAAGGATTTTTTTTTAAAAAAGGAGAGCAAAAACATAGCTCAATTTACCATTTACTTCAGTAGCAGCCACCATGGGTGTGCAGGTCCCAAGTAGGTTCCTTCCGCTGAAATACTCTTGAAAATAAAGCCCCTCCTTTTAACCTTTTAAGCCCCAACCTTTTAAGGTGTCAAAACAAATGCAAGGCCTTCTTAATAATAATAATAAAAAAAACAGTGTTAATATTTATTTATTTATTAAATTCATTGGCTGGCCATCTTACCACAAGATAACTCTAGGAGGCTTACAATCATAATAATATTTGCATGAAAATTCATCACAGCATGGTTAAGAGGATAGATCCGTGATGGCGAACCTATGGCATGCATGCTGGAAGTAGTAAACAGAGCCATCTCTCCAGGCACGTAGAGCCATCGCCCGTTGCTCTTCTGGGTTCTGGCATGCCAGCCAGCTGGTCTTCACGCACGTGGGAGCACCAGAAACCAAAAGAGCAGTTGCGCAGTGTGCATTCAACAAAAATTCAACAAAGTCCTTTTTGGTTATGTCATCTTGTGGTTCCTTTTCTTTTCTTCCTGGTTTTCTTTGTGAACTTGTCCCCATGGCTGAGAATTTTATTATGAATAGCAGACAAGGCTCATCCACCATTCACTGAGTATGGAAAGCACAGATCCACCTATTGAAGAGTCAGAATGTATAAGGATCCAGAAAGATCAAATTAGGTCTTTTTTTTCCTCTTCTGAAAATAGAAGTATACATCCAGTAACAAAGGAGTTATATTTTAACATTTTGGCCTGATATATTTGTTTAACTGAAGCAGTAGGCATGAGCTTAAATGGACTCCAGAGGATGGTAGAGGACAGGAAGGCCTGGAGGAATGTTGTCCATGGGGTCGCAATGGGTTGGACATGACTTCGCAACTAACAACAACAAAATTTGTTTAACCAAGAAAAAGTTTTGAATGTGTTTTTCTGCTTCTGCTCTTTTAGCATTTTTGGCAGTGTTGAAATTGTTAACTTAAACCCAGAGAAAGTTTCCAAGATGCAGATTTGGCTAATGCATGACATTGGTGGACTTCAGAGGTATGTATGGTTAGCCCGTGCAGAATATAGCACTGCTTTATTGCCAGATGTCAGCACTTCAACCTGAATTTACTCTAGTGCTGACATAAGAAGGAGAAGAGGGGGCAGCTGGCAAGAGGACGCTTGACTTCTCACCTACTTATTTTCCCTGAAGATAATATCCCCTAGGAGATGAGATGGGAGGGGGGACATTCCTGGGAGCTGAAGTAGTAGATATGGGGAGAGTGATTTGGAAGAGGGCCAATGAGACTCAGAGAATTGGGGAACGGAAAAGGAAGGTTTGGGGTCAGGAAGTCAGTATTGGCTACGCCACAATCGGGGACAGGTTGTTGTGCTTAATAAAATGAAAGATTTCTTCAAAGACTATTTGTTGGAAATGCAATTTATTTTATTTGAGCCGACATCGAAACCTGACACCACCATTCTGGATAACACATATAGGCAGCTATATAAATTTAATAAATAAAACAGTGTATATCAAAATGACTTCTTGTGTCTCTTGAATGTTTCCCTAAAAATGAGTCCTTCATCCTTAGATGTAGTGACCTGTCTTTAGAAATATAGTGGAAACATCATTTAAAAAGAATTTTCATTTCATTTATTTATTTATTAAATTTATTGACTGCCCATCTTAACACAGATTATTGGTTATACATTCATACCTACCCATTACACTTTCCTTTTAGCATAAGCAACATCATTAAAATAGAAAATAGGGAATGATGAACAACATGCCACCCCAAATTAAAGGCAAGAGATAAGAAAAAAAGAAAAGGAAATAGAACTGCATTTACTGTAGCTGACCCCAATACCACCAACAGGCTACCCTTTATCTTCCTAACGTCGCAAATAAGCCTCACTTCCATCACTACAATGGACATTTTCTTCTTAAATTTCTCACCTCCCTCCTTCTCTGGATTTCCTTCATTCCATCTAGTGGTGGGATTCAGCCGCTTCACACTGGTTCAGCTGAACCGATTGTTAATGTTGTGTGCAGTTCGGTGAACTGGCTGAATCACCATGCTTGGGTCAGCATCACAGCTCACTCTCCCCTCCCAGCCACTACTCAGCTTGCCTGACCTCACCTGAGGCCATTTTGGTATCTCAGCACTCCTCTACCACCCCCCTCCCCCCTCCGAGAAAGCAACATCTGCACAGGCAAAAGCACAAGGCAGCTCTGACAAGGCACTCAGAGGGAGGGGCTGCAGCTACTAAACAGGTGGCCAAGCTAAGTGCCTGAAGGACCCCATCTGTCACCAAGTGCCTCAGTGGGTGGTGAGCGAGTCCTTGGCTGGGCTCCTCAGCAGATAACGGTCTTTGCGGGGGCCGATCTAGCGCCCAGAGCTGGCTCTGCCCTAAGGAGGCCACGGGCATCATTGGGGCTCCTGCAAAGAAAAGTTCAGGTCCAGTTTCCACACGGCACCATGATCCATGAGCTGCTGCTGGCACTGTATGGCTACCCAGGTGGCCTCTTCATGGGCGGTGGCCTGCAGGTGGATGCCCCTCCCCCCTCCCCTCCCAGCCAGTCCTCACCTGGCCTGAGAAGATAAGGCCAACATCAGGGGAGGGAGATCAGTTCTGGGCCCACTGCACTCAGCCAAAGGGCCGTCTTGGGGTGGGGGGGAAACATGGTGAAGCTCAGCTGTCTTTCGGGCCTGGCTCTGGGAGGGAAGCCCAAGAAAAAGTGCCTGATCCAGGCACATAGCACCCCAGTGTGGCACTCTCCCCGAGCCCACCTGCTTGTCCACCACCCGGAAGCGGCGAGTACCCCCATCGTGGGTTGGATGCGGGACCTGAGGTGGAGGGGAGGGTGACAGCCAAGACCTGAGCCCAAAAGGAGGCCAAGCCCTGCAATGTCACCCCCAAGGCAAATGCAGCAGGTCCAGAGGGGGTCTCCCACTATGCTGCTTTCCACATTTAAGTTTGGAACTGCTAGATGCTGTCCTCTTCTCCCTCCCCCTCCCCGCTGCTGGGTGATCCTGTGTGAAGAAGGGGGTGGCCACTAGCAAAGAGGGGAGAGTGCAAGGTTGGTGCTTCTGGGACAAGGAGACCTGGGAAGCATCTGGGTCCGGCTCACCTGGCCTCTCTTCTGTGTGTGCTTCCACTGCTGTTCCAGAGGGCTATCTCAGGAGTGAGGGGGAATAAAGAGGCCAGCCAATTAGCTAAAGGTTCACTTCCTTGCTTTGCTCTCCTGCCTCCACTCTTGCAAGTTTTGCTGCCTTTTCTCTTCCCACCCGGCCTTCCCGATCTTTGAGACTGCGGCTCCCTAAATGGGAAAGATGGCTGTGAAAGGAAAAGAAGCCAGGTGAGCCAGACCCAGACACTTCCCAGGTCCCCTCATCCCAGAAGCACCAACATCGCACTCTCCCCTCTCTGCTAGCGGCCATCTCCTTCTTCACACGGGATTGCCTGGCAGCAGGGAGGGAGAGGGAGAAGGGGGTGGTGGCAGCCACTAGTAGAGAGGGGAGAGTGCGAGGTTGCTGCTACTGGGATGAGGGGAGCCTCTTCCTTTCGCAACCACATGTGCTGCCACTGCCGTTCCAGAGGGCTGCCTCGGGAGCGAGGGGTAAGAAAGAAGCCAGCCGGCAGGCCTAAGGTTCACTCACTTGCTTTGCTCTCCTGCCTCTGCTCTTGCAAGTTTCACCTCCTTTTCTCTTCTTACATGGCCCTCCCGATCTTTGAGACTGTGGCTCCCTAAATGGGAAAGCTGGCCGAGAGGAAGAGAAGCCAGGTGAGCTGGACCCAGATGCTTCCTGGGTCCCCTTGTCCCAGAAGCACCAACATCGCACTCTCCTCTCTCTCTGCTAGCAGCCACCCCCTTCTTCACACGGGATCACCCAACAGTGGGAAGGGAGAGGGAGAAGGGGGAATATTCCCCATATTTACAATATTTGGATATGTCAAAGCTTCTATTGTTGAAAGCCACATCGGTATGTTCAAATAATGTTTTTCTTTCACTCTCTCCCACACTAATAACAAGCCATTTCTTACATAATGTCTCTGGAAATATCCATGTATCCTTTGTTTCCCATTCCATAGGAAAGCGTGTCAACCTAGTTGTAAATCATGTCCCTCCAAAGTCTTGTGCTTTTCAATAAAATCCATTCCTTAATCCAAGTTAACACTGCCGCTTGGTAATATAGTTCCCAGTTCGGTAGTCCAAACCCACCTCTAGTTCTTGCATCTTGTAGCATTTTTATATTAATTCTTGCTCTTTTTCCTTGCCATACATATTTCCATATTATTCTCTTCAAATTTTCAAAGTACTTTTTCTCCAATTTTATGGTATCATTTGAAAGAGAAATAACAGTTTTGGTAATATGTTCATCTTTATTAATGCTATTATTCCCATTAATGATATTTGCAGATTTCTTAATTTCTCCAAGTCTGTTTCAATTTGTTTTTTCAATTTATAGTAATTATCTTCCTTGATAGTTATACATCTTGATGTTAAATGAATACCTAAATATTTCACTTTCTTCACTATTTGAATGTCCAGTTTCTCCATTATTTCCTTTTTTAAAATTTTCTCTCATATTTTTTACTAATATTTTTGTTTTATCCTTATTGGTTTTCAATCCTGCTACTTCTCCATATTCTTCTATTTGCTCAAGCAGCTTTGGGGCTGTCTCTATTGGATCTTCCATAATAAACACCAAATCATCCACAAATGCTTGCAATTTATATTCCTCTTTTTAAATTTTCATTCCTTTTATATCCTTGTCCTGTCTCACTTTTCTATTTAAAATCTCTAGTATCAAGATGAATAACAGTGGCGATAATGGGCAACCCTGTCTTGTTCCTTTTCTAATATCCACTTTTCCTGTCATTTCACCATTTACCATCACCTTTGCCGATTGATCTTTGTATATGGTTTTAATCATATTTATAAATCTATCCCCAAAGTCCATCATTTTTAACTGTATTGTCATAAATTGCCAATTCACGTTATCAAACGCTTTCTGTGCATCTAAAAACAGCAACGCTATTTGCTTCTCTGAATGTGCTTCATAATATTCCAAAGTATTTAATATAATCTGCATATTGTCTCTAATCTGCCTTTTTGGTAAGAAACCATTTTGGTCCAAATGTATAAACTCATTTAAGTGTTTTTTCAATCTTTCAGCCATAATTGATACAAAAATTTTATTATCCGCATTTAATAGGGATATTGGCCTATAATTCTATACTTGTTGTAAATCCGACTCTTCTTTTGGTATCAAGGTTATATATGCCTCCATCCATGAGTCTGGAATTTTGGCTTTTAGTAGTAATTCATTAAATACCTGCAACATCACATTACTTAATACATCTTGTAGCATTTTATATATCTCTGCTAGTAATCCATCCGGACCTGGTGTTTTCCCATTCTTTTGTCTTTTAATTCCCTCTACTAACTCCATCATTGATATTCTTTCTTCTAACATTTTTTAAAAAAATTTCTGGAATCTTATGTATTTTGGCTTTTTCTAAGTATTGTTCTATTTTTTCCTCTGCAACTATCTCTTGTTTATACAGTCCATTATAATATTTCTCAATTATTCTTTTCTTTTCCTCATTTTTGTAACATACATTTCCATCTTGGTCTAATAATGGACTTATTAGCTTCTTTTCTTTCTCTTTTTTCATTTTATATGCTAGCCACCGTCCTGGTTTATTTGCATTTTCAAAAAAGTTTTGCTTTGTAGATTTTATTTTGTTTGCTAACTCTTTATTTTCCATTAAATTCAACTTGTGTTTTTTCAAGTCCATCAGATTCTTAATCTTTTTATCTTGTGTATTTTTCTGTAACTCCATCTTCTTGTACTCCTCCTTTAATTTCTTATGCATTTGTTTATTTTGCTTATTCCGTTTTCCTAAATATGTCATTGTCAATATATGCTTTCTTAGTGTCCCACACATTTTGTAGTGATGTATCTTCAAGGGTGAAATCTAAAATTTGTTACTACCAATAGTAACAAATGAGGGCGTGGCTTGGGTAATGTGAGTGGGTGGGCATG